CAATTACTTCAGAGGAAAAGACTTCTCTTAATAAACTAGTCTTCAAACTACTGAATGAAAAATGTATTAAAAGACTACAAAATGTATCAATAAAGCTATAGGAAACACATATAAGTTAAACATAATATAATCATAAATTCATAATAAGCATCATCATTTGTTGAGTCTTCTTTGTGCTAAGGATTTTACAGTTTCTCTTTCAATGCTTTAACAAAGCTATGATGTAAGTTCTATTATCTTTTTTTTCCTTATCTTTATTTTAAAATAAAAACAGAAACAGGGCTAGGATTCTAAGCCAGGACTGACTTCAAAGCCTTATATCTGTAGTGCTTCAAACTGATTGATTTCTCTTTAATTAGGGGGCACTGCCCTTATTTTTATCAAGGTTTTCAAAATGAAAGTTCAACACGGTCAATGAGCAGAGCATAAATAAATGAAGGCTGATTAAAAGACAGCGTGGTGAGGCCTCTGGCAATCTAGAGAAACCATCACACCAAGAATAGAGCCAATGCTCAGGTGGATGTGGCTGTTGCTATGTGCAACTACAGACCCCACACCTAGTCATGACAGCTTCCTGAAAGAAGCTAGAAATCTGGATCACCTACCTATGTGACAAACTCTTCTTTTCAAATGCTCAGTAAAATAAACTTTTCAATTGCAAGGGACACCGACTAAAACATATCTGGGGATACATTTAGACTGGCAATGTGAATCCAGAAGTATGCTAAATGTGACATACGGGACAATGCACTGGCATTCATGAACAAAGAGGATGCAATCTAACTCTGGGGAAAAAAATCTTTCTTATAGGTAAACTTACATTCCACACAAGATTGAGATTCTATAGCTTCCTGAAAAGGGAAGTTGATGGTGATGTTACACCTCTAATGTAGGTACTGGAAAAATCTATTTACTCAGTGTCAGAAAAATGATGCTCTATAAAATACATACTGTAAGAACTGCTATGTATGTTGGAATTAATTCCAGTAAAGATCTTAAAGAAAGTGATCAGTCTGTGTAATTTCGGGGAGCAAAATGCTTCCTCGAAAATGAAGCTAGTAAGAAGATTATGATACTGAATAAGAACGGAGGAGAATCAAAGGAGTCAGAGTTTGTAATCTGTGTTTCACCTGAACTTGAACAGTTCCAAGAGGTTAAAACAAAGTAATTCTTGATGTAATTACCAAATCCCTACAATTAATAAGAGTGAACTGTCATTACATCTTCTTTTTTCCTCTCCCCGGAACTATAGACAGGCTCCTTGCTACTACCCAACTAACAAAGACAATTCATCATTTCTTATCTATTATATAAAAGGCAAGATCAAGCAACATTTTCTTAGTTTAAAATGGCCCTTTCACAAAAAGAATCCATGAAAATACATGAGTATTTTCTCCAATGAATGATTTCTACTTCCAACCAGTAACTCTAGAAAGGCTTTACTCAACAGTAATCAGGTCTGTGTAACTGCAGTTCTACGAGTGTCCCCAACATGGAGGAGGGAAAGGGCAAGCTCTGGACATGAACATGCTTGGGAAACTGTGTATACTCTTGCCTTCCAATTTTGGCTCCTACATCACAAAATACGTTTAGTGTTTCTAAACATTATATAACAACCACGGTTAATTCCTATCATTTTGCATCATTTTTATTATTTATGCTTCATTTTGTTTTGGTCTATGTTGCTGGTATTTTGCTATTGTTCTTTATTATTCTCTTTAAAATAAACATTATACAATCCAGGTAATACATTTTGGAGGAAGGATGCCAATTCAGAAGAGCTCTTTACCACCGCAACAGCACCATGGCCTAAGTTAAATGTTAATCAGAAACCAGCACAGCAGCGCATGTCTATAGCCCTAGCTACTTAACAGGCTGAGACAAGATGCACTAGGACAACAGGGGCAAACCTACGGCGCGCACGTTGTTTGTTACTGAAAACTCTAAAAGGCTCATCATCACTGAGCGAGCCTATTCAAGGCCAGTCTGGGCAACACAACTAGACCCTACCTCAGAAAAATTTTTTTAAAAAATGAGAATTTCAACTATGCAAATGTATAACTTTAGAGATACTAGAACTTCTATTACCATAAGAAATTTCAATAAATTATATTTATGCTACCAAAGAACCCTGCCTGAACCTCTATTTTCATAATAAATTTTCAGTAATTTAGGACTCATGAAATATAATTCCTAAAACATATAATATTTTCTCTAGCACATGTAAGAAAACCCCATTTGTATAAAAATTATCAATTTATTATTTAGTCTTACATCTAAAGAATTCTGAAGTTGAAATTAAAAGGTAATTAATTCTAAGGCAATTGATCCTAATTTTAGTAACTGTATAACCACTAACCACATCAAAATTCTGAAAAACAATGGTAGCAAAATGAATCATACATATGTGAGAAAACAAGTCACCTATGGGCAACAAAGCCTCACATACTAAAAGAGAAAAACTTTCTTAACTAGAGCATAAGGTAAAAGCTGGTGCCGCTCACCAACTCACAATCAGTAATCACTCAAAACAGAAAGGAGAAAAAAAAGTATTAAATTGGAAGCCTAAGCCTGAGGATCAGCTAAAAAGAAATAATTATGTGAAAACTTCAAAGCTTTCATGTTCAAACTTTTCCATGTAGTCTGTAACAACTGCTAAATCAATCAGAATACAAGTAGATTCAAAACTGGTGCCAAAATAAAATTACTAGCAATCTGACCATTTTCTATTTTTCTGTTATATTCCTAAACAACATTTTGTATTCTTTAAAATATAGCACAAATTTAAGTTCACTACTTTTAAGTCTATGTAGAACAATCTAATGAAGAAGCAGAACTATATCAATTAAGAAACTATCCTCGCATTTTAGAAAATTGCTATATATAAAGTACCACTATAAAAACTATCATTGATTTTATTCTTTTCATAGAAGTTCATTTAATGGGACAAATTTATGGCATTTCAGAGATATGGGAAAGAGGAGAATAAAAATAATGATAACAATAACAAAAAAAAACCTAATTTTTGATGATTACCTAAGGATAATAACTTAAGTTACCCCAACAACTCACTTGCAAAGTTCTTTCCCCAGAAAAAGTCGTAAGAATTTAACTTTTTTTAAGAAACCAGAAAGAATTAAGCAGATGTCACAAATGCATTTATCAAATTTCTTACCACTTTTCCCACATTCACTTAGCTGGAGACACTGGTCTTTTTAGCTTTTGCTATACTGGGCCTCAGTATTAACCCAACTTTCCTTACAGGGAATACTCTTCTGCAAAGTCTCAACTAAACTGTCATCTTGAAGAGGCCTCTGACTACTCTATCCACAGCTAAACACCCAACCACTAGAACATGATCTGACACAAGTGGTCCGTAACTATTTGTTGAATGAATTAAACAATCTATGTACAATCTCAATAAAATACAAAACAAATCTGATAACAATTTTAAAACAAGTATATTGTGTGTAATACTCATAAACCTCGCTACTACGGAAGCTATGCTAGGAGGATCACCAAATTTGAGGACAGCTTAGGCAACTTAGCAAAATAAAATAAAAATAAAATAAAATAAAATAAGAGCTGAGAATTTCAGTATTACAGTGATCGCCTCAGGTGGGTGAGGCCCTGGGTGCCAGTAAGTAAATAAGATATATTATCAAAATGTTTACTACCCAATCCCAATTTGAAGCCTAAAAAATTCTAGACTGAAGTTAGAATTTATTTGGTGTCTGTTTTTGGAAATTTGTAAGGCCTGGCAAATTCCATGCAGATATGAAGATGCATTTTAATTCTGAGAAATCACAGCAAACATTGATTCCTTGACCCTTGGAATCCTTACAGATCTGACAATTCAAAGCAAAAACAAAAGTTATTTTTGGCATTAGTGCTTCAAGTATTCAGCCACTCCAATATATATACAGTATTTTAAAGTACATAGGTAAATGCCCCAGAAAACAAATATGCAAAATGACTATTACCAAGACCTATCACTGACTAAAAATGAAAAGTGTGAAATATTGTTTGATCAGAATGTCTAGAAGTAACATTTCTAGCAAGTTAAAAAATAAACAACAAGCTGGGCATAGCACACACCTGTTGTTCAATTACTCAGAAGAAACACAGAAGGACTGCTTGAGCCCAAATATTTGAATCCAGCCTCAGCAACAAAGCAATACTCTGTCTCATGAAAGAAGAAAGAAGAAGGAAGAAGCAAGATGGGACGGGACAGGGAACAGGGGATGGGATGGGACACGGGACGGTTTGGGACAAAGAAAAGAAAGGAAGAAAGGGAAAAGACAAAAAGAAAGAGTTTGCTAAAAGTGAACCAAAGGTATATAGTTATGAGCATGCAACCATTTAGTTCTATTAAGTATGAATTTCTGCTGATTTAGTACTGGGGACTGAACTCAGAGCCTTCACACTGAACTACATCTTCAGCTCTCTTTTTATTTTCTATTTGAGACAGGGTTTTGCTAAGTCACTAAGTTGCCCAGGATCTCCATGAACTTGGAATCTTCATGTGTCAGCCTCACAAAGTCCTGCAAATGCCAGCAGGCATCACCATATCCATCAAGTAAGAACTTTGTAAGCATAATAACAACTCACTATAATCTGTCTCTGTAGAGAGCATAAGGTATTACATTTTACAGAACTATTATAAACTATTGTAGCAAAAACTTTCCCCAAATGACCTTTTAACTCTTCGTTGGCTTTAAAAACTCTAACCAGATAGCACTGTCCTACTTAGTCAAAATAGCTTGTACTGTTTATTCACACATACTCAAACTTGAGGGGAGAGAGAAAGCAAGTAAGTTAGGGAGGTAGGGAAGAATTCATGAATTACATAATACTACACATATCTACCGGCACAACTGGTCATTAAAGATAAGCGTCTGTTTCAACCAGGAAATATGGAAGAGCAAAAATTTTCTTCAAAATCCACTACTTACATAAAATGTCTGGAACAAAATAAGCTCCGTGGTCAAATAACTTACCGTTACAGACTTCAGTGTCATACCATGGTAAGTGCCCATAGTATCAATTTTAAAGCCTTCCGTCTCTACAAGAATAAAGGGATTTACTATTAGATTATACGTATTTTATGATGGGTAAGAAATTTAAAGTAATAATCTACATTAATAGAGTCACATTACAAACTTTTGAAGATTTAAAAAATTTTAAAAAGACCCTAGTCCCATAAACATATTCAAAACACATCAATAATCCTATGTTCAAAAGCTAATTAAGACTAACTCTGCAATTATGTTCAAAAACTAGACTGAATAAAATACTTTATAACCCCTAAATTATTCACTACTAAATATCTGATGATAGCATCACTAAAAACATCTGAAAAATCTCTGTATAAAAAATTGTGTTCCAAACATGCAATCTATAATGTACATTAAATATGTTGTAGAATACAATGTTGTAAATTATGATGGACGTTTTTGGACACAGGCCCAGGATGCTTGTCTATAAAGGATTGTGTAGTAAATACTTAACACACCGCAGGCCAAAAGTCTCTGTCACAACTACTCAATTCTGTAGTTGTAACACAAAAATAAGATAAACAATATACAGTATGTATATAAACAGGCAGCTGGAATTGGCCCACAGAAGATTGGATTTGGTTTGTGGGCTGCTTTATATAGTTTATTTCATAAGAAAAACATTACAGTAAATAAAGGAATGGACCTCTATCTTACTATAGCATCTATTCAGTGTGTCCTTTTATCCAGTAAGTGAAATCACCACACAAAATTCACTGTATTAATGCAATATATCTTTTAAAGACATATCAGGTAATGCAGGAAAACAATAAATGTTAAATTTGCAGTTGTTGTACTTCATATGTTCATAAATGTAGTTAAGACAAAGACCTCAAGATGAAGTGACAGTAGTCCTACTTCATTAATGTAGAAATGGTTCGCTACTGCATCAGCCATAACCCCACAAAATAACCCCTCACACTGTTGCTCCAGGTCTACGCTTTCTAAATTTTCAACATATACATTTGTAATTTGGGATGCAAGATGTAATATATAGAATCTCCATTCTAAAATAAATTCTGTAGAAACACAACTGGTATTAATAATAACAAATATCTGTTGATAGTTTCTTATATACCACACACTGTTCTATTGACTTAATGTTTACTAGTTTAAATCTCACAGTAACCCTAAGGAGTCTATTATTATTAATATTAAAATTACAGACAGCAGAAAACTCAAACACAATGTTTTTGTTTGTTTGTTTTTGTTTTTGTTTTTCTCCGGTACCGGGAACCAAACTCACGACCTTGCACTTGCCAGGCAGGCGCTTTGCCGCTGAGCTAAATCCCCAGCCCCCACAATGCTTTTTTAAAAAAAATTTTTAAGACAGGGTCTCACCATATAGTCCAGGCTGGCCTTGAACTCACTATGCAGCCCAGGTCGGCCTCAAACTCACAGTAATCCTCCTGCCTCAGCCTCCCAATTGCTAGGGATACAGGTATGAATCACCATGCCCAGTAGAATGCAGTTAAAGCAGTACTAAAAGTCACACAAAAATTAACTTGACGCAAGGTATCTGGATCCAAAATCCAAACTACTAACAGGGAGTTAATCAACTTTTTCTGTGAAGGGAAAGATAGTTTTTTTTTTTTGGCTTTCTAGGTGTATGATCTCTGGCAAAACAATTCAATAGGACTGTCACAGAGCTAAAGCAGCCACAGACAACACATAAGTGTGGCTGTGTTCCAAAAAAGGTTTATTTACAAAAATATGCAATGAGTCAGATTTGGCCTGCAGACCTTATTTCACAAACCCTTAAACATTTGACTATACTGCCTCTCAAAGTCAGCATAACCATAGCAAGGTAATAATGAAAATTAAGCAACTCTTGCCTTCTTTTCCTTTGAATCTTTCCTGGTCGTATCTGTTGTAAGCAGCTGGAATAGGCTGTTTAGTACGCAATGTGGGATCCTGTGGAAAAACAAGTTAAGAGCTACAAGTTAATATTTTAAAATATTATCTATATAATACTCATAATTAAAACTACAATGGAGATATTTACTTTCCTAAGTCTTTCTTACTAAAGTTGTAAGACAAAAAGTAATGAGATCTCTAGTCATTTGATAACCATTTTTGAGATTATGTGAGATTATTATATTACTGTATAATTCCAACAGATATTAGTACATGGAGGCAAAAACAAATCTTAAAAACTACCGAAGTAGAACAGTTAGCAATTTCATTCTGGGTCCTTAAGTGTCTCCCCCCAATGGTGATGTTTTTAACAACAAAACATTTTTGAGACTGTTAACTGAATTATCCACCAAAATATTAATCCTTAAATTAAATACAGCAACTATGACAATATGCCCATTACAAATGTACAGTGTAAGACTAAAAAGGTACTAGTATTTTAAATAATTAGAAAAAGCTGTCAATAGTTTAACTCACAAATACTTTTTTCCAAAATTTATAGTCTACAATAACCTAACAGCAAGTATTGTTTAAAAATCTCAAAGCTGGGGGCGCGGGGATATAGCTCAGTTGTACAAGTGCCTTCTTGGCAAGCGCAAAGTCCTGAGTTCCATTCCGGGCACCCACCCCGCAAAAACATCTCAAAGCTGCCTGTTAGTTCATTTTTTGTCTTTTTTGGACAGAGTTTCGCTATGCAGTTCATGTTGACCTTGAACTCACTTTGTAGCCCAGCCTGGCCTCGAACTTGCAGCAATCCTCCTGCCTCAGGTTTTTAAATGCTGCCAAATGCTGGGATTATAAGTGTGTACCACCATGCCTAGCTACGGAAGAAGTTCCTGATACACATAAAGACTAAAGTACTCCCAACTTTGTTACAGTAGGATTCCTTGATTCCTTGACTATTTCAAATAAAAAAGAGATATTTATCAAATTGTTACTAGTTATATATTAATAAAGAGTCAAACATTAGTATTTTCAACTATACTAATGACAATGTAAATACACAGAAAGAATAATCATAGTCACAAAGGTAATGGTTTAAAGTTCGACATGCTTCCAACCAACTATTAGAAAAGTCAACCAATTCATAGTTGTAAGTACTGTGTGCTTTTAACATCACAACACTGACCTCATTGCCACTATTTTTTTCTCTAGCAAGTCCAGTTCACTAGACTACAAGCTCAAAGAGGGCAAGGACTATAAATCTTTCCAGTTATTTTACTTCAAGATCCTTAGCACACTGCCTGACAAATAGTAGGTATATGAATACTTGCTCTTAAGTCAACTAAATGTATTTGTCTAAATATCAGCAAATTCCATGCTAAAAGTTAAATACCAATGATCTCATGAACATATAAAATTACTGTATCTTATAAGGCTGTATTAGTAGTCTATCACATTTTCACATACTTTTAAAATTTCTACTTATCAATTTTACATGTATTTTCTTGTTTTATTGAATCATGAAAATAGTTAGAAGTAGTGGGTAAGCCAGACATGCTCTGACATACGTGTGATCCTAGCTACTCAGGAGGCTAAAACAAGAGGTACTTAAGTTTGAGGCCAGCAAGGGCAACTTACTAAGAGACTGACTCAAAATAAAAAAGGGCTGGGGATGGGGTGGGCTCCCCACAACCTCAAACAGCCCCCCAACACACAAAAATTATAGAATATGTCAAAATAAATACAGGCTATATGTCACAAATGAAATTTAATTTGGAGGGTGGCACATTGCACTCAAAACAGTAAAACAGGAAACTCTCAGAACTAAAGTACTATGAAAAGGCCACATGAAAGGTGGTAAGGGAAATATACATTTCCTAAGATATCACAGATAACGCCAATGTCAAAAAAAAAAAAAACCTAAGGGAGAACTTAACAGGCATTTATGACAAGTAGGGCATCTATACAGAGGGCTTTTCCCCACTGACAGTCTGACCCAACTGTATCTCCCGGGTCATGAGACTTACAAAATTAGTCCTCAAATAACCTTTAAGGCTGAGAAGAGTCTTCACATACTTCAGCTACACAGAAGCAACAAAAGCTTTGGAACCTCCTAATGTAAAAACTAAGGTCTTCAAAATTACAACACTAAAATACAATACAAATTTTCATTATATTTTTGTTAAATTTACTAATTGTAAGTCACAAAGCACTCTTACCACAGGAGCTGCATTTGGAGCTGGTCGCTGTTCAGGTGCACGCCCTTCTTCTCTGGCTTTTACAGACTGAAGAATTGCAAAAATATTCTTGGAAAAATTCTAAAACATAAATGGATTCTAATTAAGCCCACTAAAAATCAAATATACAAAGGCAGTAAGTTTATGTAATAAACATTTTATAATCAAGTTTTCTTCCTACTAATTCTTCCCTTACCATATAATAAGGTATTACTATCACTAATATGGTCTGGCTGTGCTTTGTCCCTCAGGGACTCAGATGTTAGAGCCTTGGTCCTTGGCATGTGGTGATGCTACCCCCTACAGTGACGAAATCAGATTAATGTGGATTAAAAATATGCTGCAAAGCTCTGAGGTATTGTTAGGGGTCAATATGTACTTTGGAATGACTGGAAAAGTTGGAAAGTATTTACAAAGAAACTCAAACTTTAGCATAAACAACCTTAGCAACATTCAACACAGTCAAATAGTTGAATACTCCTTCCTGCTTGAAATAATCTCCCTTGGTTTTTACCCTTCCCCAACAACCAACCATCCCTTTCAGAGTCTGCTTTTTCTGCCTATCAATCACTCACTAGTTTAAAGAATATCTATTATACAAAATTTACTGCAAGTCAAACACCTGATTAGCACTGGAATACAATGATGACACAACAATGATACAGTGAAGAAATGAACTTAGTAGACGTGTTTACAGAGTGTCCCACCCAAAATCAGAATACACATTCTTTTCAGTTGCACATGGTACATTCTCCACAGTAGACCATATACTAACTAGCCCATAGAACATACTTAAGTAAATCCAAAGGAATGGAAATTATCCCATGCATATTACCTGACTATAGTGCAGAAAAATTGGAAATGAATGGCAAAAGAAACCACAAAAACTCTACAAACACGTGGAAATTAAATAACACCCTCTTGAACAAAAACTAGGTCACAGATAATATTAAAGAAGAAATTAAACAATATCTACAAATTAAAAATGCAAATAAAACAAAACATATTGGACTGAGTGGGATGCAATGAAAGCAGTTCTAAGAGGGAAATTTACAGTGGTGAATTCTCACAAGGAAAACAGAACGAGAACAAACACACAACTGAATGCTGCACCTCAAGAATCCAGAAAAAGAATAAATCAAGCCCATAGCCCAGACAAGGAAGGAAATTATAAAGATCCAAGCAAAAATTATTGTAATGGAAACTAAGAAAAGAATACAAAGAATCAATGAACTGAAGAGTTGGTTCTTTGAAGGAATAAATAAAATCAATAAAACTCTAGCTAACGTCATCAAACAAAGGAAAGAAAAATCTCAAATTCACGTGATGAGGAATAAAAAGGGTGAAATCACTACAGATCCTGTGGCAATTCAGAATAACATTAATACCTACTCCAAAAATCTTTACTCACATAGGATGGAAAACACAGAAGAACAGAACAGATTCCTAGAAATGTATGAACTGCCAAACCTAAATAGAGAAGATATAAAAATTCTGAATAACTCCGTATCAGTTAATGAAATTAAAAACGTATTTAAAAATTTGCCAACAAATAAAAGTCCAGGTCCTGATGGATAAATTGCTGAATTCTACAAGAAATTTAGAGATGATTTAATGCTAATCCTTCTGAAATTCTATAATGAAATTGAAAGGGAAGCAATTCTCCCTAACGCACTCCTGGAGGCAACTATTATCCTGGTACCAAAACCAGAGAAAGACTGAACCAAAAAAGAGAACTACTGGCCAATCTCCTTAATGAAAATAGATGGAAAAGTCCTCAATAAAATCCTAACAAACAGAATGCAGGAAATCATCAAGAACATTATACACCATGACTAAGTGGGATTCATCCCAGGGATGGAGGGATGGTTCAATATATGCAAATCAATAAATGTAATACACCCTATCAAAAAAGCCAAAGACAAAAATCACATGATCATCTCTATAGATGCAGAAAAAGCTGCTTCTGACACAGTTCAACACTCATTCATGATAAAAATCCAAAACAAAATTGAAATAGATGATCTTTATCTCATAAAAGTCATCTATGACTAACCAACACCAGTATCATACTACATGGACAAAAACTGAAAGCTTTCACTCTAAAATCAGGAACAAAACTAGGATATCCACTATCACCACTCTGATTCAATATAGTGCTGGGAACATTAGCCAGAGCAACTAGACAACAGAGAAATAAAAGAATAAGGACAGGAAAGGAAGAAGTTAAATTATCATTATTTGCAGATAACACGATCCTCTACTTCAGAAGAACCCAAAAACTCTACTAAAAAATTGCTAGATTTAATGAGCAAATTCAGTAGTATAGCTGGATACAAATGTAACACTCAAAAATCAGTATCATTCTTGTACACAAACAATAAACTTAGAAATTACAGAAACCACACACTTCATAATAGCATCCAAAAAAATGAAATACTTGGGAATCAATTTAATGAAGGAAAATAAAGATTTTTACACTGAAAATTACACTACTCTGAAAAAGGAGATTGAAGAAGATATCACCAAATGGAAAGATATCCCTTGCTGATAGATGGGAAGAACCAACAATGTGAAAATGGTCATACTCCCCAAATTGTTACACAGATTTAATGCAATCTTGATCAAAATACCACTGCAGATCTGCATACCTCACAAGTCTAGAGAAAACAATCCTAAAATTCATTTGAAAACAGAAGAGATCTACAATAGCAGAGGCAATACTGGTGAACAAAGGCAAGATAGGAATAATCACAATCACTGACTTGAAATTACACCACAGAGCTACTGTGTTAAAATTAGCATGGTACTGGCACAAAAAAAA